ATAACCCCCTTCAAGGAGTTTAGGCCACAGCTCAAACAGTTTCTGGTCAGGTTGAAGAGGCCGAGGCTACCTGGCGTGTGGAGGGCAGTTCTCGTGGCGGATTCAAGGCTCGGGCTTAGATCCTTCAAAAGGACTTAAGGTTTAGGGTCTTAAGGGTTGAGGGTTTTAAGGGTTTAGGGTTCAAAGTTTTAGGGTGTCTTGCCCCTGCTCCCCCTCCCACCCCCCCATGCCCCTGTGACTTGTGTCTTATATGTCAAGGTAGGTCTCTAGAGGGTGTAGTTCAGGCTTACAGACGGCGGTTTACAGTGTTAAAGCAGTATATAAAAAGAGAGCTTTGTGGGAGGCGTCGTGGAATCATAGAAGGCTTACACAAGATAGGTTTACGGGAGGGCCCCAAGATGGCTTACACAGGTTTGTAGAGCTCTGAAAAGGTTTACAGAGGGTTCATATGTTGCATAGGTTTAGAAGCGGTCAAAGATGCTTTCTGGATGGTTCCTAGAGGGCTTAATAATACAGGTTTACTAGACGGCGTAGAGCGGTACCCCGGTCTGAGGTTCTATGACCTGTGGTGTGTGTCCTGAGGTATGGGGTTGGTGAAGGGTTTATGGCAGAGTTTACAGATGGTTCACAGACAGGTTTTACGGAGATTAGGTGGTTCGTGATGCCTGCAGATATGGTCCTCTTACCTGATGCGGGCGATATTTTTGGGGGGGCCTGGGAACACGGAGCACGTACTCTTTTGGTAGGCTGAGAGACAGGTTCTTGCTGATGCAGCATTATCAGCGGGTTTGCTTTTGATTTTCTTATGTCGTCGCTACACGCCAGCTTTATCATCAATATAGACTCATATAGACTTGCCGGAGGCAGCTCCATTTCATGATTGTGCGCAGAGGGGATCGTCTTGATTGTGGAAAGCAGCGAGGTATTCTGGCGACCAGTCAAGGTCGAAAGCGAAGGCTCGCTTTGTCTCAAGAATTAAGACTTGCTGTTTTGCGAGGTGTTCTTTGGCAAGCCTAACCCCAATTTCACTCCTATATAACCCCCCTATAACCCCTCTATAACCCCTATGTAACCCAGGTCTGGAGTCTGATTATCGTAGTTGAACCGGACAAGGGAAAAGGACTGCTATCAGAACAGGAGCGGTGATCCCTTCAGGGAGGAAGCCCTGAAGCATAAGGGATCATATAGGGGTTGTATAGTATATTAGGGTATATACTAATAGGGTTATATTGGGATAAAATTGAGATAGTGGAAACTACTATAGTGTATTAGAGTAACCTAGATTAGTCATAGCGTAGTCCCTCAAGCATTCTTTCGGATGGCATGCGCACTGACAAAATTGCATCTTTCCTGTTTGGTCCCCATACGTGGTTCAGAGCCGTATAGGGGGGGTATGACAGGAACCGAGGGTGCAAGGGGACCTCTGGAGAAGGTGCGGAAGTTTGGAAGTGCTCATTCATTTTCACCACTGAGCCCCAAGTTTGGCAACCACCCCTTCAGGAAGAAATCAAGCCCAAAACTCAATGCCCAAAATAATTGAGATGGAATCCCACCAGGGTGCTGATGAAGACTACTTTCCTTTTGAAGGCATGCAGCATGTTTGTTGGGACGGTAAACTCCACCCGCATAGCACCATTCGGGATTAGTTTCAGGGCTAGCTGGATCTGAATCCTCTTGTGATATGGTGGCCTGGCAGAATATGGTCCCTTTTGGATATGCGAATAAATAATCTGGGGCCGTATTTTAATCGGCCAAAACGTGACCATAACTTGACAGCCTATACCAGATGGCCCCTTCTCAGACGAACATATTCTGAATTGTCTTTGAATGGCCTATTGACTGACCGGCATGTACCTTCTGCTGCTGTTAAGCCATGCAAGTGGCAAAAGCCCGCTACATGCTTTGTTTCAATGCATGCCGCCTTGTGCCACGCAACTGATGAAATCCTTCCTTTTGAAGTTATCACCTTCAAATTTGCAAGCCCGGCAGCCGACGAATGAGTTTGCTAACCACTCGCCCATCCCCCAAGACGGATAACCTCTCCGAAGCCAACAAGCACCCCTGTACCTAGTATTAAAGGCTCCCTTACAAAATCCCAGTAACTATTCATAGAGCGTCGGGACGGGAAATCCTAGTACTGGGGAATTTGCAAACGCTTGGGTGGGGGATTGATTGTTGGGTGGTTGGGCATTCTGAACCCTGCCAGACGGATCTCCGCCAGCGAAGCGCAGAAGGCTTAGAAGTTTCCCGGGCTGCAGGTTAATACCTTTGGGACTATAGTGTTTATACGGTCGTGTAGGGCTTTATAGTACAGGGTTGAGAATTCACGGTATGGTCTTAAGTTAAATGTGGCGTCAATGGCTCAATGATAACTTCCTTTTCCTCCCCCTCCCTGTTATGACTCAATAGGCTCCGCAGGGATGATGGGTTTTAAATATTGCTGCCTTCAAGTTTGCAGTCCAACAGGCTCGGGACGGGTGAGCTATCCTTAGAGGGAATTATCTAGTGGACTATCATAGGGGTTATTACGGGGGATACTAGGAGTTTGGACTATAGCTCAGGTGGTTGTTTGAAGAACTTACCTGCAGTCGTCGTGCTTCGGTCGAGATTTCCTTGACAGTGATCTTGCTGTTGGTATGTGCTTGAGCGCTTGGGATGTAGTGTAGTACCAGCTGCGCGTTCTTGAGTTTGGGGGCCTGCCCATGTAAGACTATACTATACTATATTATACTATAACAGGCATGGGCATGATGAGTGTGTGGCTGATGTTACGTTGGCTCGGATTTTGTTCTTAAATCAGACCACTTAGTTACAGCCCTATCTATCCCAGAGGGTCAGGTAGGAGCAGGAGCGGGCACATACGGTATTCTGAAAACTATGATTACAACTGGATCAATGTTAGGGATCCTTTATACTTTTTGGGGTATGGGATTCCTTATATTGATGTAAAAATGATCCTCTTTTCTCCCTAGGGTAATGTGGGCTAAGACAATGGATTGTTGGATGCAGCTGTCTGACTGAGCAGGAGTCGCGCTGAGTGAGACCTCCAGACCCTCGCCGCTCGCAAGTTTCAAAATTGCCGCGTGCCATCGCTGTGTTGGGGTTCCATCATCCTTATGTAGCTCCGATATAGTAGTTATACCGATAGTGGAAAACAAAGTGGAAACTACTATAGTATGTGGGGGTTATATCGGGATAACGGAAAATAAAGTGGAAACTACTGTATTGTAATTGGTGTCTGCATCACCCAAAATTCTTTCGGCCAAGTAAGATGAACCATGATCCGCTTGCCTTAGATAAGCCCTAACATATTGCAGCTTTGCAGAGCACAGATCATTGGTAGAGCATGCCACTGGGGGCCAAACAATGGGAAATATTTCGAAGAAGGCTAGAGGGACTTGCAGGACCATGGCCTATCGCTTTAAAATTACGTCAACTTCTACACTGCATAATTGTTCCAAACCCAGAAGCGCACAACCCTTGTCTTGGACGTGTTTCTAGACTGGCCACTTGCGACGACCAAGCGAATAGAGTTACATGGATTTCGCCCCTGAATATGAGGCGGCAAGTGGAGACAATGAAGGAGTGCAAGCGGTGGCTGACAGTGTGAAGTTCGAGTTTGGCAAGAGAAACGGAAGTTTTAACTTAGATTGTCCTTGAAGCGAAATCAGTTTACAGTCCCCTGACTTTTGTAACATGGTGCTTTTGCAATCCTCTGTAAACCTCAAACTGCCTGGCATCTAATAGTCAGCATGAGGAGAAGTGGTGGGTCAGTCCAGCTTGCCGCAGTTTTCCACAGAACTGCGCACCATTCATTGCGCGTCATCCAGTTTGGGGCGTGGGCCCCACGACACGTCTGGGCATCATTATTCTCCTCTCCTTAGCACCCCCACACCTCCAAAAATAAGTCTTCCCCCTGCCCCCTTTATCATGGTATCTTGTTTGGAATATTTATTGACAAGGGCAGCAGGAGGATTCACTATGTAGGAGGAGGGGCGAGTGTCTAGACATAAAATTTATGATTGCATGGGAAAATCATTACTTCAATGCGGATAAGGTTTGCAGTGTACTCTGGATGCCGGACGAAATGCAGAACCTTGCATACTGTATACCCTGAAATTTGACGTATCCTGACTCATGTAAGATTCCCGCGTCCACGATTGCTAGGTAGTGATTATACTAAACATCCAAATTATCGCACAACTTTGCTCTTGTTGCTCGCGAGTTGCCTGCCTCGTAGTCAACCTCAACGGATTAACGCCCATCAGGGACCCTATGGAAACTACGTGGGGATCTAAATGCCGCTTTACAAACAATTTAAAGCGGATGACGTGGAGAAATGACCACTTGAGGCTTCCCAGGCATTATGCCCCCTGGGCCTCAGTCTTGTTGTGGCTCAGTATGTAGGAGTTTCCAAAAACAGGGCGCCACAATGTGCACCCTAAAATCGCAGATGTCATTAATTCTTACGGGTATCTCCTCTTAGAGGTATTTCTATGACTATGTGTGGACATATACTGCCAACTGCCACCAAAATTGCTCGACTTGCTTGTTCTAGCGGAACAGTACAGCAGTTGCAATAAACAGCCTAATTTCCACGACTTCGTGCGGCGGAAGTTTGCGGGTCCTCATGCTTGCAGACCGAGTGACGTTCCAAAGTTTCTCAGGCGGTTCAGATGCCAAATACACTTACACGACCTTTTTTGTTGAGATCCAGAAGGATGTTCATGAGCATGGACAACCTCTTCGTAGCGAGCAGCCACGAAAAGCGCCAGCAGTGGCAGATGCTAGCAAGACTTCAAAAAACAAGAGTGCTTTGTGCATCATTCATTGAGGCAAACCCTACCCACTCACAGCCCCGAAAACGAGTCAGAACTTGACATCTTTGTTGAGAGTCGCATGGTCCTCGTGTATATTGCACAGACACTGGCCTCAACTTCTGTTGGTGCCTACTCGGAGTCTTTTTGGCACAAGCCTGGGAAGCAGTCTCAGCCGCCGCCATGCCGGGCAGAAAAGTCCATCTGAAGCAGATGACGGAAGTTCCTGCAGCGTGGCCCTTGAAGATTGTGATCGATGCCTGGGTGAACGTGGCCTGGATGCGCAACCGTAGTGGTTCACATTACCACCAACCCTTGGCGGTGATCGCAAGCCGCCTGGAAGAGCTCTGGGCCACGGAGCCGGAGGAGGCTTCAGAGTGGCAGGAGGAGAGGCTCATTGTGTTCCACTGGCTGCAGAAGGCCGCCAGACGCGGGGATCAGCTGCGTCAGGCGTTGTTCAGGCACGGCCAAAGCGAGTTGAGACGACGCAGTGTGACCCACTTCACCCATGAGGGCTTGGTGGAAGAGGTTCGGGGTGCATGGCGCATCTCCGGCTGGGCTTGGTTCAAAGATCTTTGCTTGCAGCTTGCGGAGCGCATGCTCAAAGCGGAGGAGATGATCAGAAAAGAGCCAAGCAAGCCATGGTGGCTGGAGGAGGACGCTGCTGCGAGGGAGCTCCGGGTGACCAAGGAGGAGAGTTCTTGTTTCGCTGAACACTTGGTCGAGGCGGGGGCTCCAAGTGGGCGCGTTATGTTTTAGAAGGCGTTCTTGCTTGGTTATGAACCTGCCGTGATTGGGGGTATGGAGCTCAAGAAGTCAAAGAACAAACTCCGCACCTTTCAGAATCTTTTACGCAACGAAGCTGTTTCTCCGGTACAGGAACGGAGCAGCCTTTGCCACATATAGCGGGCCCATAGTTCAGAGTCTAGAATTCGGGCAACACTTGAGCAGCAGGTTGTGGTTGTAGTTGTGTTTGGTCTCCATGGTGTCAAGATTAGGAAAATATGTGGCTGCTGGAGTGTGGGATGCTGTGTCCGTGCCCGTCTCATGTTCGGTCGACTTGCGTGCCAGGATCTTTAGTATTCCACGCTATGGGAGCCGAAGTTTAATCGAGGGCTTAGGCGATTGGCTGCTCGTCGTTGCTTTGGATAGTATTCTTGCCCATGAGTTTGACTCTTCAGAGCAAGAGCAACCCAAGCTTTTCACCTGTCCGATGGACTTTCCTACAAACCTGTTCGACGAACCTTCAGCGCAAACCAAACAAAAACTCGTCGAAACTTAATAAGGCTGAGCCATATTTAGCCCCGAAAAGGCCTGCAGCTTGACAACCCGCCATCTGCATCAGCAGTGTTTCCTGAAAGCAACCACAGAGCTTGCTTCGAATCAGGGTCCCAGAAGAGCCGGATAGATTCCAATTGGCATCAGGTTCAACGGGATTCAATGTGAGTGAAAGGAGAGAACAAGAGCAGAGCAAGACAGCTAAATGGCTTTCAGCTCACCCTTGAGGCAGAAGCTATGCTCCAAGCTGCGCAAGTTTCAAATCGGCAAGCGCAAGGATGAGAAATAGCACCTTATAAACCAGATGGCGAGGGCAGAAGCAGAAGCAGCAGAGAGGATAAGCTTCGATTAAGAATCGCAGACACGTGTCCTGGAAGGCAGCCAGGAGGCAGATGGAGGCGCGAGGTCCTCCCGCGCGGCGTCCTTATGGAGCTCACTGACGTAAAAGAGCGCCCAGTTCCCGCTACTTCTGCGGCCTCCGCTCTCCATCCACCGACCCGATGACAGTTGACACTGGGCAGCGTTGGCAGGCACATGAAGCACAATCCGACCTCAAGTTTTGTCAAAAACTTTGGCCTCCTTCCAACATAACCAGCGAAGGCTAAGTACCGCAGGATTCTCCAGGTATTCATGATGGCTGCTTCTCAGTGTTTCGTGAGCCATGACTAGCCCAGGACGCTTTCACGACTTGCAAAATGAGCCTCAGCCACGACCTTACGGGGGCTGCGTTTTATGAGGGAGTCGTAGGCCGCAACGCCCCAAGACTCTTTAGGGGCTCAGCAGTTAGAACAGGGATTTGTTGGGGGGTGTTCTGCTTCATTCATTGAGGGGTTCTAGGTTGTAATGTTCGTGACGATTTAAAAATGTAGACCCCCACAAGACTTCCACTCGACTCGAATCGCCTCCGATCATGCGTCGTGCCATCCAGAAGCAGCCTTTGCACAAAACGCGCCCCCCTGTAGACGGGGTTTGGGAGAACTGGATAACTACAACACTGCGTAGCGCTATCTAGGTGGCAAGCTGATGCAGAGCTTTTCAGTGGTAAGCGTGCTGGAACTTCAGCCTTCGTGTTCAGCGTTCATGTTTATCTGCTAGCTGGTAGGTCAGCAGGCAATGACAGCAAGAGTACAACAGTTTCCTGCCAAAAGTCCATCATTCCCAGTTCACTAAGCCCGCACCGCACAGGGGTCCCTTCTAGAGCTGTCGCTGAGGTCAAGGGTGAAGGAAGTCAGGGCTTGGGAAGATCTGCAGTTGCTTGGGCGCTCCAAAAGCTGAAGGTCCTATCGAAACAGGTGTTGAACATTCCAATGCCTGGGCCTTCTTCCCGACGACTTTGTGGGGGTCTACAGTGGGTACGTAATGAAACACAACCCTAACAGAAATATCGTGGAGAGAGGAATGCACAGCGCCCAGCCCCATTCATCGACCCTTCTTGTCTTCTTGTGCATCTTTCTTCGTCTGTCATCCTATGCAATGAGACTCCAGTGCACAAAGCCAAGCCGTTCCCTGAGAACCTGATTCAAAGATGCATTTTCAAGCCCCAGAGTCTCGGGACCTTACTGTAATATGTACCTACTAAGGGCATTTCACGCAATCGCTCAAATGCCTATATGCCAACTGCTTGTGCTGTTGCTTTGCAACTTGTCGTGAAAGCTTGACTTTTTCGACCCCTGCAACCCTATCTCTGTGTGCCCCTGCGCCGTTGTGCGAACACAGATGTTCATGGGCAGTTCAAGGTAAGTGAGAATTTATCTGGCTCTGAGCAAGAACATTTTCTAGCCTATGGCCAGACATGGCTACCGACCTCCAAGTAGGACGACTGCGCTTTGTTCTGTGCGTGTGCTGCCGAGGTTGGACATCCAATGCCAAGGCCAACATGTTCCTGTGCTGTGGGGTCAACACACATCTCTCGAAAGTCCAGCTGTGCCCGGGCCGTTCATTGCACGACCTAGCGTCGGAAACATTCAAGCCATGCCAAGTGAGTAGGCATCACCCAGCGGTATCCCTGGACTCTATGCTCATCTTATGTGAAGCCGAGTTCATACTGGAGCTTTGATAGTGGAATCACGTTGGGGTGTTGGCCACTCCTCAGAAAACATTGCTTGAAGCCATCCATTCGGCAGCTCGCAACAGAAGGCATCAGGCGTGATGGTACGTATGAATACAAGAAAAGCCGAACAGCGCGTCCTGTAGCATGTTTGTGTTGCTGTTGGGTTGACTTGTGGACCGTGTCAAGCAATTCACAATTGCCAAGCAGAGTTATTCCCATGAACGTTGCGTAGGTTCTACTCAACTGAAATCATCAACTCCTTATTTCTCGGTGTACCAAGCGGAGGCCTACGCATTTAGCAAACGCCTATTGGGAAGTTGATAAATGAAGCAGAGCCCAACGAGCGCGCTTTTGCCTGTCAAGGTTCAATGCGATTCTCAGCCCATGACTGCCTTGGGGTGTCAGGGCCTTATTCTGAATATACTTCGACTACTACCATTGCCCTTGATATGAAGAGATAGCTAGTTCTTGTGGTGTCTTATGGCTTCTTGCTTATGGCTTATGACCGCTACTCTGATTTTGAGCCATGTTGTCACAGTTCTATGAGTTTTGCAGTTTGAGGCTTGTAGACTTGGGTGCCGCCTTGAGTCCAGGGTGTGAAAGGCCAGGGCATTCTCGATTTCCAGCACTTCAGGTTAGTGCTTGCTTCGTGTCAGGGCCTGTGCCTGTAAGTTTACATGCTCAGGGCAATCACAGAATCAGCCACTCCCGACTCAGCCATGTAAAGATTTGTCAAGGGCGCGGTGTTAGCCGCTGCGTTGGCAACACTGTAAGCCTGTGAGTTATCCATGCCAAACCTGATAATGTTGAATCCCGGTTAGTGCGGGGGTCCCCAGTAAAATGAAGCTGTCAATAAGATATTCTGGCCCCCTTATTCGATTTGGGGGGTCCCAATGAAGTGAAGTTCGTTTTGCTGTAAAATTTCGTGGAATGTTTCGACGAACTCTCGTTGCCCAGTAATGGCGTCATCTTCCGGGAACTCTTCCCAAACCCTCTAAAATCACCTTGCAGCTGATTTTAAAGCCAGGCCTTTACATGAAAAGGACAGGTACTATTTCTTATTGAACTGCTTCTTTGAACAGGCTGGGCAATCTAGTTCCGCAGAGCCCCTGATCCTGAACAACATAAAAGATTTGGTGGGGCCCAAAAAACGTAAAGGTTTTCTGGCCGGGTTAGTTGTGAGACCAAACTGCTATTAGATTTAAATGCCCTAGGCTTCAAACAAAAACCAAGGCTCAAGTACCTTTCGAATCTGGAATCTGATGCCACAAAGACAATCGATTGCTTATTCAACCGCGTATTCGAACAGGCTATGCAATCAACTTCCAAAGGGGGTAGTCCAGCAGAGCCCCTGATCCTCATTGATGTAAAAGATCTGGGGGGCTCAGTAATGTAAAGCTTCATTTTTGGCTGGGTCATTGGTGAGGCCATTCTACTTTGATTTAAGTAATTGTTACAAAAGTTTCCCAAGCTTCCGTTTTGAACCCAGCTATGCTGATTTGTACTAAGAGGGTGTGGGGGAGGGGAAGCCTCCAAAAAGGCCCAGACCCCACCAAAGGAGGGTTTTCGCGAGGTGGCCTGGTGGGCCTCGAAAGTAGGCATGAAAAGGGATCTGTTCTGATACGGTTCCGGGTAGAAGCTGTTTGGGATGCCAGACGGCAGCTAATGCATGTGCATTTTGCGCCCTGCTTCTAAGCTTCCCCCCCCGCGCGGGCGCAAGCCTTTAGTGCGATTTCGAATTGACTGTGATTGATTCTAAAATGATTTTAATCAGATTGGGATTGCTTGTACAAAGTGTTCAAGGCCAGGCCTTTTAGCATAAAGGCCGAGGACTTTGCCCTTCCTCTTATCTTGAAAGCTGAGCTGAGCAAGTCCTTATGAATTCAATAGAAGCCGAAGGTTCCCTCTTCCCTTATTGATTCTAATAGGAGCCATAGTAGGATCCCCTATACCCCCAATTCGTTTTGAGGCCTTTTGATTACAGAGGCTCCCCTTTTTGTTGCAAGGGTCCCCCCCACTAACCAGGCTCTGTGGCCAAGATGTGCCCGTACTGTGCTACGGACTGGACCGGGTGCCGTTGCTGGTACCGTGATGACATGCAGCGTAAAGTGCTCTGTCAAACCAAATGGTTTGCGCACGCGTAGTAATGCTGAGAGAGATTTGGGGTGCAACCCGTTTGTGACGAGAACTGCCGAGGGTTTGGCGCGGACGAATCTCATACTGCCTGGAGCCCAGCAGCATTTTCAACATGTTCATAGTGCAACTTCATCCCAACATGTTGCGGCACAGCTGCAGACTGGAATCGCACTGGTTCCTGAACTGTTGCTCCTGACCATGAGAAATTTCTCTAAGCCTTCTGGGATAGCTGCGTCCGCAATTCTGAGACCAAAGCATGCGCTATTGTATGGTGTGCAACTGCAGCTCGCCGCTATACTTGGCTCTCGGCTCCGCGCAGGGCTCGTGCCGCAGTTCATCTACTGGCGGAGCCATGCCCACACAGCATTTCAAATGCGATTCCTGTGGCATGGTAGAGGAGAGACCTGGATGGTGGATCCAGGAAGGTGGTCCATGCAAGCATCGAACGCAGTATGCATGTCCTGGGCAGATGTCACAGGTCTTTGACTGGTCTGTTGATGCGTTGTTTGGAGCGCGTTGGCAACAGCGAATGCAGCAGAGGTGCCTTTGCACCAGCCTCAGATACCTTCGTTGCACCCGCTGTGGTTTTGTGCGGAAGGAAAAAGGATGGAGATCCGGAGGAAAGCAGTGTGAGCACCGTGATCGCCACGGCTGCTTAGGAGAAATGCAGTGCCCCCCAGAGTTTTCCTCCATGGATTCTATGGTGCATGATCCCCTGCCGGAATGGGAGCGCCGAATGCAAGAAGACTGTCTGTGTTGCCGCAGTCCTGGCATTGCTCTTCAAGTGGCTTCTTTGGCCGGGGAAACTCTGAAGTTCCAAGTCAGAGATTACTGGACAATTGCCGAGGTAAAGGCAAAGATGCAGCAGCTCTGCAAAAAAGTCCGGGCCGACCAGGTATGCCTGAGCTTCAGAGAGACCATTCTTCCAGACGCTGGTCTCGTCAAACACTTCCATATCAATAAGGATTCTCCGCCAATGTCCTGGGCTGAAAGGGATCCTGAGTTGACAAAGTGGTTGAAGCTTGTGCAGGAAGACTGGCAGGCCATACACCGTGCCCCCAAAACCGCTTGTAAGTCGCCAGAGGTCATGCTCACAGTCATGAGTCGCTGTCGTGACGCCATCTTCTTCACCCACGCGGAGCTACTCCACAATGTAGGCTTTCTACGGCAAATTTGCGAGATGAGGGGCTTTGATACCACAGACTGGCCATCGCCACTAGGCTGCCTATGGTCTACAACTATAAGTAATTGGCAGTGAAGTAGCCTTATGACCCTCAGGCATGGGTCTCCTCGCAAAGCCCTCAAAGATCTACAGGGGCTTCAACTTGGAAAGTGTAGTCCCACCAACTGTCGCAGGAGGTTCAAAATAATTTCCATGCTCTCAATAGAGACTCTGAATTTCCATGCTCTCAATAGGGGCTTTGTAGCATCACCACTCTTGAATCGAAGGCTCGGACCTGTACTGTAACATGCCTGGACACAGATTTCGCGAGTCTGCTGCTTGAAGCGACATGCAGCCAAGGCATAGCAAATGCATGCAAGGTGTTGCTGACATCTACGCGTTGCTCTGCTATGCTGCAGCAATACAGGATGGCAATCTTTCTCAGGCTGCTATGCGCTCCAGTGCACTTCAGCAAGCAAGCCCCCAGGATCTTGTAGATGTTGTGGTCTCGATTACTTCACGCGTGAATTTGGAGGCATGCGTCAAGTCCAATCTGCTGATTCTGCTGGATGGAGGCATTCCTGCAGAGTGCTTTGCAAAGCACTTCAATGTCGAGACGGTTGCCGACAAAGTGCTTTCGATGACATTGCTGGAATCAGAGCAAGCAGCTCTTTTACGCGCTGCTGGTGCCGCTAGAGCAGCCGGGCCTCGGCACCAGGAACTCCGCAGGATGCTGCCCATGTCTGCCCCGTTGCCGCGCCATGAGTTTGCATGGAAGGTGATCATGCGACACAACGACACATTGTCGCAAAGCTGTTTCGAACGCCTACTTCGTCATTTGCAAATAAGGGACATGTCAAGGGACGACGCCTCTATGCTGGTGGCCACCTGTTTGTCATACAACCAGGAGGACTCTGCCTGCACAGGCTGCGTTCGTGTTGCAAACCTAGATGCAGGCTTGGCCATCCAGCTTATGTCGCGGCATGCCAGTCTTCCTCTAACCTTGCTTCAAGATGTGACCTCCGAGGATGCTAAAGCGCGCATCTTCCAAGAGGTCGTGAAGGTTTGGGGACCACAT